CACCTGGGAAACGAGAAATCCCAAGCCCATGACAGAAGCCAGACCAATGAAATCAGAATCTCTTTGGGGCTAGGAGCTTCTTCACAGATCCTCAGGACATTCCGGTGTGACCCCAAGGACCACTGATCTACCCTAAATGTTCCCTGATATTGAAGAACCACCTTTGCAGTACATATCAATATAAAATAAATAACAAAATGTTTGGTGCTGAGTTGATGTGAGGTTGATATAGAAGGTGAAGATTTAAACAGGAAATGAGGAATTGAAACTAAAGCAATAGGTCAGATAATTCAAACCAAATGTTCTCATTTGAAATGGCTATGTGTATATTTGTTCTTATATAATCAACTTAGCAAGAAAAGATATCTTAATGTATTATAATTTATACGTGGGGAGCATTAGGCTGAAAGAATTCTTTGATCTCCTTTCCTTCACATATTAATTCACCTTGCATATGCAGACACCAACTTCATCTAATTACAGTGATTAAACCAATGTATAACAGCAATTATTGAAACTTTGTGGTTATGCCCCATATAGCTACTAATTTGACCCAGTTACAATCTCAAAGTAAAAATATTTGTTTAGTCTATAAAACAACAGGCCTCTAATAATAAGATAAATAGTCTTTAAACCAACAGGTATCTCTAATATTAAGACAAATTTTGGGGTGTTTCCCTATAAAAATAAAACACAGATCATAAATCAGTAGTTGCATAAGGAGCAAAAATATAATAAATAAAAAATCCGGGTCATAGAAATGATTATGACAGTGGCTTTGATCTTATAAATTACCTTATTAATGGTGAAAGTGATCATCTGCATGGTTAGACTATTTGATTTTGCAGATCTGAAAATAATTAAGTGGTAGAATATAAAAGCGTTGTATTTGCAGATGTATCCCACACTTCTGGATGGTGTCATACTACCTACAATTGCTCTTAATCAACAGCAAAATTATATTTTAGTGGAAAGAATTGTAAGATATTTGATTTTCTTTAAAAATGCTAGTTCTTACAAATTTACAGTGCGTGACACCAAAATAAATAAGAACTTAAGAAATGCCTTTTTTCCAAACTGCACATTATGTAACCCAAATTGTATGTTATCAAACTGGTTACTGTTTGTGAGTGGCTCCTGAAAATATTACAAAAAGCATCAGGTATCAGAATTGTTATATATGCCGAACATTAGCAGAATCTCTCTTTGGTCAGTGTCTGTTAAATAAAAATAGGCAATAGAATCTACTTTAATATGAGACTATAAAAATAAAAACATAAGAATGCATATAGTCTTAAGAGTATGAAGATTAGACTTGTACTGACAGAACTAAAATACAAGTGATGTAATGATCTATGTTAGAATCTAACCTCAAACCTGCTTTCACTGACCATCTGTCTTAAGGTATAGTAAGTAAATAAAGCTAGCAGTTACAAAAACTCACCTGTTCACACAGAACAGGTATATATGTATAAATATATTCCCTAAGTATATTTATACATATATTATAAAATATATACAACTTTATATATTTTATAATATATATTAATTTTTATAATGTACATTTTTCTAACTTTTTATGCTACATTTCTTAGAGAGTGCTCAGGGACTACAGAATGGCATATTTAAGGGAAAATCTTTATTTAACTTAAAAATTTTATGTCTTAGAATATTATATTTTAATAATACCACCTAGCTTGAAATTTTTTTAAGATGTGTTATATTCTTATTAAACATATCTCAAAAAACACTATTTTGAATAACACTGCAAACTACAGAGAAGTGTCACTGTCATAATTTTTGCTGATTTATGTAATACAGCAGCTTGAATGCTATAATATAAATGATACATGCAATGGTTTTTATTCTTTATTTTTCATAAATTACTCCCTAGATGAATGTGTATATTTTCTTTACAAAAAAATTAAACCACCTATTTCTCAGAATACTAAGAAATATTCTTGGATACAAATGATTTGTATTATACATTGAAATACAAAGGTTAGTTAAAGTAAATTCAAGCTGTATTTGATCTCCAGTTACTTTGGACTCAAGATCTTATGAATGTATTAGATTAATATTAAGGTGGGGGTTTTTTTTCAACATAATGGATCAAAAAGCCTTTTTTAAAAGTTAAATAGAAATTACATTTAATCTATCTTAATTTTATACATATATGCTATGTGGCATTTTTCTTAATGGGGGGGTAGAAGGTAATAATACATGTCCTAACTTTTAAAAGCTAGAAACACTGCACTGATCACTTGATTATATATCAGTACAATAAAGTCAGTATATTTATCCTAATACATAAATTACAATAGTTTGTATCCCTAATATGATTAAGGGTATCATGTCGATAATTCTGTAAACATATTTATAAACTATCAAAACTAGATTTTTTTTCATGAATATATTACCAATCCCAGAAATATAATGCATTTACTTTTAATGTAGCCTAGGACTTTGTGGCTACCTTAAAATATGGAAAATTTTACATAGAATGTGTATTTTGAACAAGACCCTTGATGATAGTCCTCATTTCATAAGTTTGAAATAAGTATGTTTAGAAAGAACTCAGACACATCTTTCAAATGTGTGCAAGTAGCACTTGAAGCCATGTAACATAATTTGTATTTGGATGTTTGTGGCTTTTGGAGAATCATAAACAAATCATAAAGTAAGCAACTAAGCAATTGATTTGTGAGTCATCAACCAAAAACACTGACATCTTAAGTTTGAAACTATAATTTTTGAAAACAGTTATTGTGGAATAAATATGTCAAAATGACAAATCAACAGAAATCACACAACCAAGAAATAGCTACAAAACATCATGGGTAACAAATTCTGTGTTGCGGCAATAAGAAACCCAAATGTCTGTATTTACTTTTCCACGTGAAGAAAAGAAGGTGATATTTTTACAATACGCTTTTGTGTTCACAGTTAATGGTGACTATTTTATACAGAAACACAATACAGAAGTAGTCTACAACCTCACAAATTAGTTGAACCTACACTATACCTTACAGCTATGAATGATAACACAGTAATAAAGTTGAGATTTATTTCAGGTCAAGGAGAAAATAAACATTTATATCTATTTAAAATCTGAGTATTTGAACAAAGATATATTTGATGTGTTTATTTGAAAATATGTTGCAGTCTATTGACAATACAGACTATGTTTTAAATACTGAACCTATGCAAATTGGAATTACTAGAAATTTCTATAAAAGTTTGCATTCAGGGAAGCAAACAAATTTATATTATTACAAGGCACCCTTTTAAACATAACTATAGTTAAATCCCTGCAACCTTTTTATTAGTTGTGGAATTAGCAGACACATGAGTATCCTTATCTTTACAACTGTGATGCAACATATCTTGTCAAAATAAATAACTATGCAATAAATATGCTAGTCCTTCATTAACTTCTGCCATTAAGAATAAGTTTGATCCCCAGGCATGAGTTATAGTGGTATGGTTAAGAAAAACAGAAAGTTTAAGATCCAGTTATCTCGTGAAGAAGCGTTCCAGATTAATGCTGTAAACTCAATATTACTATATGAAAAGAAGACCTATTTCTGGTCTTTTAAAGAATGTTGACAAAGCAAGTTTAGTTTGAGTTTAGCTTAATTGTCAAACACACAATTAACCAATCCAATGTAAAATGCAGCCCTTGAACTATGTTCATTTTAAACAAGTATCCCTTAGCCCAGTTCTCTTGTCAAAGTATCACAAAAACCTCGATACATACTGCCCTTCATTACACTTCCCCCAGTACAAAGCAAGAGAGGCAGAAGAGAGACAGTTCTGTTCCCGTGTGGGGTTGGGGCAGTAGTGAAGAGAAAGGAAGAGAATGTGGTGTATTTTTTCTTCTGAAAAGCAATAGTATTTTGTTGTGCTGTTTAATAAATCACCCTTGGGATGAAACATAAAGGCTTATTGAGATTCTGTCATCATTTCTTCCCTACTAAAAGGTCACTGCAGTATCTTCATCTTCAACAGAGCCCTCAGGCAAATCTCATTTCAGCACCACGGACAGGGACACTTCTACTCGCACTTGCACCCCATGATTAATTACACTGACCATTTCTTAGGAAACTTGCATTGGCTTCTCCTTTGTCAATCAGCAAGTATTATATCCATTATTATATTCAACAGGAAGAGGCTGAATATAATACACACTCTTAAGGAGTTCAGTATTTTTCATTCATAGCACCTAGCATTTGCCATTTAGCAAATGATAATTAAAGCTAACTAATTACATAAGGTGTCTGTTAAGTTAGCTAACACTGATCATCGATCACCAGATACTTAATTAAAACTTTCTACTCACAGTGAGTCTCAGATCAATTATTATACAAGTGTCTAAGAGAAAACAGGAAACTTATGGTGAATAAACATGCTTAGGTAGGCCTCCATACTTTCCAAACAACCAGAACTACCTCTGTAAACCAAGTCACGTGCTTTTTTGTTCTTCCTCCATAAACAGCTACAAACACTCTCTCTTGTCCCTGTGGTCAACCAACTTAATGATGTCACTGTCGGAGAGATCATGCATGCAGGTCTACCAGCCAAACCACACATGCCTGTCAGTGACTCTGATTTTATCTGGGGTCATCAGTATCAAATTCCATTAAAAAAAAAAAAAAGATAACAGAGTCTGAACCAACTGCATCGCTATAAGAGATAGTAAAGCATAGGCTTTATCGTCTCAGAACACCAGGGTCTTTCCTGGGCTTCCAAAGATTCCCAGAAGGCAACCATCCACCAGCAATCCTCAAGGTGTTCCCAATTTAAGCAGCAGGTCTGGCCCTCCTAACCACAAAAAAAGCAACTGAAGTAACAAAACCAGAGTCCAAAAAAAAAGAAAAAGAAAAAGAAAAAGAAAGAAAGAAAAAAACTATTTTAAAAACTCTGCAGAGGACACCTCGGGCCAAACGCACACAGACAGCAAAGCGCGAGAGGGGTGATAAAGAGCCCAGGGTTCCTACCTTACAGTCCTCGGGACAGGACTTCACCGAGTACTCCTGCGACTGTAAATATTTGTGGAGCACACTCTCAAACTCTTCGTATTTCTCCTGAGCGTGGTGGTCGTAGTCTTGGTAAGCCTCGACGCACTGCCGGCAAGTGGTCATCTCGCCGCCTTCCTTGAGCACCACATCCAGACTACAGTTCAAGGTGTTGGGACTGGATAACCCCGAGAACAATTCCCAAAGTGTGTAGGAGTTACAAAACGAAAGGTAAAAATCCGACAGGCTCCAGAGCGCTGCGGGCTGCGCCCCCCTCCGCTGCCCCCCCCCCGCGGCCGCCGCCCCCCGACTCCAGTTCCTCGCGCACACGGCGTCCGCGCTCTCCACCGTGAAGCACTGGCCCGAGGAGGCGCCCTGGGGGTAGCAAGTCTCCAGGCGCCACGCCGGGCTGGCGGAGTTTCCTAGAGCAAGAGCCTTGCTCCGGTTGTTCTTGCCTCGGTCGCCCTGGCCGCCGCCGCCGTCTCCCGGGGAGGGGGGCAGGGTGGGGGACGAGGAGGCGGAGAGGAGTCTGTGCGCCGGGGCGGCGGGCGAGGGCTCCCCCATGCTCGCCAGGAGCGCGGGCCAGGAGGGCTCCTGCTGCCGCGGCCGCGGCTGCTGCTGCTGCTGCTGCTGCCGCTGCCGCTGCTGCTGCTGGTGCTGCTGCTGCTGCTGCTGCCGCTGCTGCTGCTGCTGCTGCTGCTGCTCCTTGTCCCGGGCCCGGGTCAGCTTGGCCTCGGCGCAGAACCACAAGTGATCAGAGAGCAGGACTGTGAAAAACAAGAGAGATGCCAGAGACAGTCGCCATTTCTGAGCCCTCTCCGAGTCGATGAACGGTTTCTCGTTCTCCCGGGGTGCGGCCAACCAGATTTTTAAGCCGTCGTCATACTGCCGACACATCCAAGCACCCCTGGTCATATTTTGGGAACGCACAGCCCTGGCCGACTCCACCGTGAGGGCTCCGGTGCCGGTGTCACCACAACATGCATTGACTTAAAGGGTTTAATTTCCTTATCCCCTCCTCCCGGTTCTCTCTCTCCCTCTCTCTCCCTCTCTCTCTCTCTCTCTCTCTTTCTCTGTCTCTCTCTCTCTGTCTCCTCTCTCTCTCTGCCTACATAAATATTACCAGTCTTTGGAGGAAGATCTGACTTGCTCCCGACCTAATCATAAGCCGACCCCATCGTCTGTAGAGTGGAAAACAATAATGGGAGAGAGAGAGAGAGAGAGAGAGAGAGGGAGCGAGGGAGCGAGGGAGCGAGGGAGCGAGGCGGTCGGAGGAGGCAGGGGCTGCTGGCCGGTGCTGAGCTGAGTGCAGGAGGTGATGGTGCAGGTGGCGGGGCGGCTGGCGCGGTCCTCTGTCACCCAGGCATGGTCACAGCGCGGGTCCCCATGGCCCCGCCGAGGACGGCCCGCTCTCCCCCGCCGGGGGCATGCCGCGTCTCCGCTGCCCACTGACGGCGACCAGAGCGCCTCCCCGGCTCCGCTCCTCTCCTCCTCCTCCTCCTCCTCCTCCTCCTCCTCCTCCTCCTCCTCCCTTGCCTTCTCCGGTCTCTCCTCCTCCGCCCGCTCCTACTTCTCGCTCGCGCTCCCCGAGTCCGGAGCCTGGGCAGCCGCCGCCGGCAGGGCTCTCCCTCCCCCCCACCCCCCACCCCGCGCTCGAACTGCCGCCGCCGCCGCCGCCGCCGCAGGTCTGCCCGCGGGCGCCGCCGCCGCCGGGCTCCGACTGCTGACGCCGCCTCCCCCGGACCTCGGGGCCGAACCGCCTGGGCTGGGCCTCCCGAGAGCCACAGTCATCTTCAGTCCCCGGCTAAGTTGCCGCCATCTTCGTCCTGGAGAAACACTTTTTTTTTGGGGGGGGGGGGAGCACTGGCTTTTGCGTCATCTCCTCCCGCGCGGAGATCTCTCCATCCTGGCGCATTGGCACCGGACCGGGCCCCGGGCGCAGCGGGAGGGCGAAGGCGCACGGGGGCCGGCGGGGCGGGGGGCCGGCGGCGCCGGGGCCGCGGGGCTCCTTCAGGATGGGCTTTCCTGTCCCCACCGAGAGAAGTCGGAATGCGGACCGCGCGCGGCCAAGGATGCGGACTCGTCTCTACCGCACCCCCTCCCCCTCCCGCGGCCGCGCTGCCTCCGGAGAAAGTCCAAGCGGCAGGCGGGCGGCGGGTCAGAGGTTCCCAGCTGGGCGAGGGTCTGGGTCTTGCCTCCCCAACTACGGACTGATCGAGGTCAGATGCAAGGTGGGGCACAAGAGAGGGAACACGAGTGGTCCGGAGGAGGGGGGGAGGCATTCGATCCCCGCGTGAGCCTCGGGAGCCCCGGACAGCTGGGCACCCACGGCCACCAGTGCGCTCCGTGGTCCAGGGGCCTCGGCGTCTGCAAGGGCGGTGCGCGCGCGCATCTGCAGCTACAGTCGGAGCTGTGTATGTTACAGCGCTTTATTTCATATTCCAAAGTAAAATCGGGAGGTTGGAGGCAACCTCACAGGGTGTCAGGGAAACACAGTTAGGAAGACCTTGGTACCGGGGATGGCCGCCTGGCCCTCTGCTCCGGGTTCCACGTCCCGACCCCAGATCTCGCTCGGGCTGCAGCATCCCAAGCCCCCGGGACCCCCTGCGCCCCAGCCCCCGCGGAGTCGGGCGTCGCTGCCGCCGGGAGTGCCGCAGCGGCGGGCCGGAGGGCTGCCCGGGAAGCAGCCGCCGCAGGCCCAGCCTCTGGTGCCCCTTAGCGTCGGCTCGGGGAGTTCCGAGAAGGGAACGCGGCAGACACTCGGGGGAAACCTGGGGTCCCCCTCGTTCCCGACCCGTGCCGGACCAGGCTGTGGGCAAACGTCTCATTTTACCCGAGGGCCCTGCCCACGCCGGCCCCCACGCCCACCGAGTGGCGGGCCCAGGACGCGGCGCGGGCGCCGGCCCCGCCGCCCCCCGTGCGCCCCGCTGGAGCGCTGCGCCGTCTCGAGCTCCCCTAGCTGTGGCTTAGGGCAACGGTGTGCTCCACCCGGCCACTCCGGGTGTCAACCTCCCTTCCCCTGCTTTCTAATGACCCAAATACTCTGTCCGGGGCACATTCACATGGGCAATACTATGTGCCATCGTTCTAAGTAAATATCTTGGGGGCACCAAAAAGATGGATCACCATCTGTATTCATTTTCCTTTCAGAGGGACTCAGTGCTGGGACATGGGAGAATGGTTTTTTTGTTGTTGCTTTTTTTTTTTTTAATGGCAAGTCGAAAACATAATAGACAGGATTCAACCAGCCAGCCCTTTCCACGCATAGTAGGACATACACTAAATTTTACTTACATAAATTGTAAGTTCCTAAAAACTATATGGAGTGACCATCAAAGCCTGGTGCAGTCTGAGGGCTGCTTGATCATTTCGTGTCATGTTATGTTTTAAAAGACCATTTGTGTAAGTATCTTGTTCTGGCACTTTGCATTTCAACATGTTAAAATTTTTATACTACATATGAGATCTAGAAACTAACCTATATGTGTGTGTGTGTGTATACATATATATATATATATACATAATATATACTATGACAAGTTTCTCCTTACCTCAAAGCATCTTTTAAATAAGCAAAATTTGAGGTTCTGTTGAAGATTAAATATGAAATAAAACTTTTTTTCTGAGCTCTGCATGTGAACCCAGCTTCAGCTGAGGACATGGTCTTTGAATTCTTCTCTCTTCTGAACAGCTTAAATATTATGACATTGAATAAAAGATTCTTTTCTCAACCAGCGATGTAGATCGAGATATCATTTGGAAAAATCCCTTAAAATTTTAGAGAGTGTTCTTCCACCCTCTTATCATGATGACTTTTCATAAATTTAAAACTTCAACCCTCTTAAATCAAACCAGATTTAAATACAACATAAAGTCGGCTTGTGGACATGAGTATAGGTCTGGCATTTTCTACTGTATAAATAAATATATGTGGAAGACATTATCAGAAGTCTGCATTGCTATTATGCAATAAAAGACTCTGCAGAACCTGAAAGTGAACAAATAGTCTAAATCCTGAGATGATTTTCTTTCCCTTTTGTTTTGAATGCGTTGTCCCTTTGTGATAAAACCTAGATGGAATGCAATAATTTAAGGCCTTTCTTTTTATAAACAACGTGAGGATTTTTAAACATTTTTAGATAATGCTAAAAGGAATTTTTCTTGATTATCTCTGTTAGATATCTATCCTTATCTCTGTCTCTGGATTTAGTTGCTTAAAACCTGGGTGGCATGACTTAATTTCACTGCTTTCTCGAATCTCCCCCTACATTTTTCTTCACTTTGTTTCTTCCTAATTTGACAGGTTTCTATTTCTCTTGATCCCTCCTGTGCAAGACAGAAAGCTCAGAAAATGCTTGGCTAGGGAGGCCCACAGGGTCCCTGAGCTAAAAAGCTCACACAGAGAGCTCAGAGGCAGACCAGAAAGAGTTTCAAAACACAAATATGATCTGAGAACAACTAGCATTTTAACATGAAAATGGGAAATCCATCGGAGCCCTCCTGCTACCTCAAAAGGAAAAGGCTGAGCACAGAGACTGTCGTAAGGCTTCTCAGGCTAAAACTCCTACACAGACAACCACTCCCCTGTGGTGCAGCGATCCACCCCACCCAACCCAGCATCCTCTGCACCCTGGACCTCCAAGCCTGGCAGTTTGTGGACTTTCGGCTCAGGTCAGACATACTCTGTTCACAGTAATTAAAAGTTCCTTGGTTGAATATGAAAAAGACCTTAAGGGGCACCTGGGTGGCTCAGTCAATTAAGCATCCAACTTTGGCTCAGTTTGTGGGTTCGAGCCCCGCATCGGGCTCTGTGCTGACAGCTCAGAGCCTGGAGCTGCTTCGGATTCTGTGTGTGTCTCTCTGTCTGCCCCTCCCCCACTAACGCCCGGTTTCTCTCTGCCTCAATAATAAATAAAAACATTTAAAAAAATTTTTAAAAAGAAAAGAAAAAGACCTTAAGTTTCTGTTGCAAGGGAAAAAATGGCCAAAGGTCTGCTAAAAGGAACTATTATATTTGTTCTTAAAACTGATATTCCTTCCTCCCCCACATCCAGGATACTGTAATTTTTCACTAACTGCCTTCCCCAACCCAGCCACTCCATGTTTACTTTCAGCCTCACATTCACGTGCAAGCCTGAAGCTGTGCTTCAGCGAGTGCTCCGGTTGTTGACCGACTCATACAAACTCCTCAGGGATGTATTTTACAGCTAAGGACCAACACAGCTATTGCAATAAGACTATTTACAGTTACTCCCATAGTGTTTATCAGCATCACCTCTACTGAGGTTCAGGGTCAGATCATTCTCTGGTGGGGATGGAGGGAGCTGTCCTATATTTCGCACAAGGTTCAGCACGCTGCGTATCCTCTCCTCACGGAACACCAGTTTGCAAGCATGGGCGGATGTCCTGGGAGCAGGATCACCCAGCTGAGAAGCGCTGCTCTAGGAGCACAGCAAAGGAATAGTTCTTTCAGTCTCATCCGTATGGGAGAGGTTCTGGCATTGGAGACGAAGCTGTAACTTTTTCTTTACATTCAGGAATTTATCATCTCAGAAGTCCTCACAGAGAATCACCACCTCATCACACGTCTCATTACAGAATACTCTTAAGAGAGTAGAAAATACTGGGACCCTCTTAACTTCTCTGCCCAATACAAAGTTAAGGGGCAGGGGGAGGTAATTGACAATTATCATTTAAATCTGGTTAATGTCAGAATTTGTGTGTTCATTTGTACTGTTACTATATACCTGCTGTATGCACATTATAGACAATTACAACAATAAGTAATTTTAAGAGTCGTAAGTAATCTCAACACCATCTATAGTCAGTTTTCCATTCTGTAATATCTAATTTAATATTATAAATCCCATTTTGTGACACTTACTAAACCAGATTTTTGCAGATTGAAGTCAGAAGTATCATAGCCTACATATCCACATTTATTAGATAATAATGCAAATTTCCCTTCAGTACTGCATTGTTAATTTTAATCAGAGACACACAAATTCTAATGGTGTCTCAGAACATTAGCATCTCTCTCTTTCTCTAAGTGTATGACTAAATAACAAAGAGTACTAGGAATGGGGAA